TTAATTAATTAATTTAAAATTTAATTACTTTAATCAAATATTTCTTATTTGAATCAAATAAATGGTATTTGCTTTAAATACTGAAATATTTGATTCAAATATTATATATTTGATTCAAATAAGAAATATTTGATTCAAGTAAATATTTATTTGATAATAACCAAATACACAGGTATTTGAATCAAATAAATTTTTTTTTCAGTGTAATACGTGATAAAATTATTATATCTTATATTTTAAAACATTTATTATTGTTTTTTTTTATTATTAATTTATTTATAAATATTTTTGCAAAAATTCAGTTTGAACTTTAAGGAATTTAATTTATGTGATTGAATTAATTATTTCCGAATATGTACTTATGTGTTATGATTTTTGTATATAATGAACTCGTTTTAAACAATAGGAAATGTCACGTTTTAATCTTGATTTCTTTTTTGATGCCGCGGCTTTGAACACGCAAAGTTTTATTTAATAAACTTACAGATTCCTTTTGATTTTTTTTTTTTTTTGCATCCCGTCACGCAATCGTCCCGCCGACTTATATTCTCCGAATTAATAATTGATTAATAAATGAAATCGAATTGTTTTTTTTTTTATTTAAAGTACAGTCTTTAATAATTATTAGTCAATGACATAATAATTAAATTTTATTTTCTATTATTTATTTAAATAAATTTAAAATAAATATTTTTGAAATTTTAATTTCAACAATTTTTTTGTTTTAATAATTATATTAATTTTCCTATTTGAAATGAAATTACTATTATTATTTTTGTTAGTATTTGAAAAAATGTAGAATTTTCTCCAGTTATTTGTGGAAAAATGTTGATAATTTTTTTTATTAAAAATCTTTTAAAAGGGGGGTTGATTTTTTTAAATTCTGCGACTACGTTCTTGGTTCTCGAGTTCGCGATCCAAAGACATAAGAATTTTGCCAAGCATCCTCTAAAAATAGTTGAACTTCCTTCTTATATATATATACTCTCGGCAAAATGTATCCGGTCGTATAAGCTTTTATATATCGGTCAAAAGGAAAAAGGGGATGAAAAAAAATAATTTCTTTTCTTTTTTTTCCTTGAAACAAGAAATTCGTGTCTGACCGGCGCTCGATTCACTCATAAATATTCAGATTTCCGCGGTGGCTCTCTTTATTTATTACGTCGCTTGGACTTGCCCAGACAAAGAGAACTGGTGGAGGTGACTAAGCGGCAATATTATGGCGCCTCGCGCCTTTGGCAATATGCCACGTGAATATACATATATATCTATTATAAGTCCAACTTGGTAAATGTGCAAGTATCCTAGACCTTAACCTTTACAATATTACCAAATGATTGCCATATACTCAAAAGAGTCCTTGTTTCGATTTTTTTTAAACTCCAAGTAAATTCTAACTCTTTTTTTCGTAATTCGAATTTTTTTTTTTATTCAAATAATTGGAAAATATTTAAATATTATTATTTAAATATTAAATAAATTTAAATTTAATTTGGAAATTATTAAAAAAAATTTTACAATTATTTGCTATTTTTTCATTATTTTATTATTAAATAAATAATTAAAAATTATTTTAGTCTTTACCAAATTTTTGTGAGGAAAATTGAATGATTAATCCTTGAGTTTTGTCTATCGTTGAATCATTATACTGAAGTGAAGTCAATTTTTATTTTATTTTTTCCTTCTTTTTTTTCTCTTTTTTTTGTATCAAACCGTATTTTTCCCTTTTTACTAGAAATGTAGAAAGTAATTTCATTGTAGCACCTGTGTCGTAACATCTAACATGTGGAAGAGAGAACCTTATATTGTGTGTTCGTATAGCAAGCAATGTCGTCGCACATGGCTTGCAACAATGTCACTGCTTTACAACCTTTTCTCACTTGCGAAAGAAACCTCGTTTTGTTTGAAATTGTGGTTTCATCTTTGTACATATATGGGAAATATTTCTTTTACCGAGTGTTGCAAACATTTCATTTAAATTTCATTCTAAAATACAAAAAAATTTTAGCCGCGTCTCATTCAAAGATAAAAAAAATTCTCTTCCAATATATATTCGATGGGAAATTTGAAAGTTTTTTTTTTTTTTTGAAATTTTTTTTTTATTATTATATTTTATATTAATATTTTAATTTTGTATTTTTCTTTTCTTTTTCTTTTATTATTTCTGGAATATTCTTTTAATTAATTATTATTATTTTTATAATTATTTTTATCACTTCATAATGAATTATTTACAATTTAATAGAAAATTTTTTTTTTTTAAATGTGTAAATTTATATTTTACATTTAAAAAACCGAAGAATAAAAAATTGTTTTCAAATATATTCGATGGGAAATTTGAAAGTCGACATTAAATATCAATTTTTAATAATAGAATATTTAGAAAATTTTTTTTTTTTTTTATTATTATTATATTTTATATTAATATTTTAATTTTGTATTTTTCTTTTCTTTTTCTTTTATTATTTCTGGAATATTTTTTTAATTAATTATTATTATTTTTATAATTATTTTTATCACTTCATAATGAATTATTTACAATTTAATAGAAAATTTTTTTTTTTAAATGTGTAAATTTATATTTTACATTTAAAAAACCGAAGAATAAAAAATTGTTTTCAAATATATTCGATGGGAAATTTGAAAGTCGACATTAAATATCAATTTTTAATAATAGAATATTTAGAAAATTATTTTTTTTTATTATTATATTTTATATTAATATTTTAATTTTGTATTTTTCTTTTGATTATTTCTGGAATATTTTTTTTAAATTAATTATTATTATTTTTATAATTATTTTTATTACTTCATAATGAATTATTTACAATTTAACAGAAAAAAATTTTCTTTTTAAATGTGTAAAATATTTTACATTTAAAAAAACCGAAAAATAAAAAATTGTTTTGAAAGTAGAAATATTTTTTTTGTAAACGATTACAAAGACAGTTTTAATGGCTTTAAAATAAGAATTTCGTATTCTCCAAGTATGTCTATGATAATTTTTTTATTTTTTTTTTTTCGTTTGAAAGACAATGAGAGATAGTAGTCTAGTTGAATTTTAATCGACTACTTTTCCTCAAAGCTGCCCGCGTCTGCAGGTTTTCATGCAAAAAAGGCTTGCTTTTATTTGAGGACAAAGAATATATATATAGGACATATATATCAACGACCGCAATGCTCGCTGGTGTGCGGATGATCCACGTTCACCAAAAACCTCAACAAATTTTTTTTTTTCTTTTCTTCATATTATAAATTCATACTTTTCTCTAGATTTAAATTCCCAAACTCTTTATTTCTTTCGCGGTATTTATACAAGGTAATAAAAACAGTTTTATATAAATTGTTCCATTTTTTTTAATTAAAACAAATATTAATTAATTTTTTAATTATTTTTTTTTAAATTTTTTTCATATTTACTTTCTATTTATCGTAAATTATTAATTAATATTTATTTGTGAATTTATAAAATTTTTTTTGATAATAGTAAAAATAATTAAAAATTCTAATTGGCTCGGTTTTCTTTTTTCTTTAATAAAAAAAAAATTCCCTAATGAATGAAAATGGTTGTGACTTTTCGTGGAGCTTATTTTTTTTTTTTTTTTTTTTAAAGGGATAGATGCCAAGTTTTGGCAGGAGTTTGAGGATCTCCTCTTTCTCTCTATCTCTCGTGAAAACTCGAGTCAGTGTACTCCTGAATAGCTAATTGGCGAATGGACTCTCGTGTATATAGTGCACGGAGAAACAATATTGGACGGCGCCAGACAATTAACTTAGTAAATTCTACAAGTAGACAACCATGAGGAACGTTTATAGTATGGAGAAGTAAAAGGCTTGGGAAGGGAAATGGTTGAGTTAAGTTTAATTGCTCGCATGGCCATAATAGTCAACTATTTTGGCGGAAAACAAAATTTTTTTTTTATTATTGACGACAAAGAGCTTCATTATTCACACCTCTTGAAGATTTTTTATTTCAATTTTTTTAAAAAAATAGTCTCTCAACATATGTAAATTTTCAATTTTTTTTTTTTTATTTTATTTGTTTTCTTTTGAGCACATTTTCTGGCGCTCGTCATAAAAAAGAAATTTTCTCTAGAGATAATTATATTTTTAACTCGTGAATTATTTTCCCCTTTTTAGAGCCACTATTAGCATTTATTATTATTATTTCTTTTTTTTTAACTTTTTAAAGCTATTTTTTTTATGGAAAATTTTTTTGAAATTGATTATTTGAAAAAAAATGAAAGAATCGTTCCACTTTAATCGTTTAATATTATATGGCGTTTTTCTCTCTTTTTTTTTTGATTCTATTTTTTTGAACAAGAATCGAGCGGACAAACGATGCCCGAAGTAATAGTGCCACACGGCTAATTAGACCGAATTGACTACAACGTTCGAAATTATTTTGAAAGGCAAATTCAAACCTCTTGTTCGGTTAAATTCGACGAATTTGCTGGGCACATATTTTATCTATTGGGCGAATATTTCCATATAGTCTAAAAAAAAAAAAATACAGAAATATTCCACAGCTGTTATAACAGTGTGTGACATTTCAAAGAAAATTTGTTTTATTTTCTCGAATTTTTTTTATTTGTATCCTTTTACAAACAAAATAAATGGAGTTTAAAAGCTAAAAATTCATGGATTTAAAATAATCCTTTCTTGAAAAATGTATATTTTTGGTAGAGTATTCAAAAAAGATTTTGCAGAAAAAAGAAGAAACAACAAAAAACTTTTTTCCGATAAATCCGATTTGAGTTGATTTTCAGAATCTCGTCTAGTTTATCAAGTCGAAAACTTTGTTTTATATTGGATTAAAATCTGCATCGAAATATAGGAAGGAATATATTTTTCACTTTGGTCTTTGAATCGTGATACAGAAAAAAAAAAGTTAAATTACTTGACGAACTTTTCTTTTTTATTTTACACTTTTTTAATTAACAATAAAAATTTAATTAAAATCAAATATATTAATGTGAGTTTTTGTTTCTTTTTTTCAGAAATTATGTGTCTTCCAAAAGAGCCTCGAAGATCTTTCGTCTCGAATGGCCGGAGCGGAGGCAATTCAAAATGGATGGCAAATACCTAATGATGCACCAGAGGCGTCAGAAATGTTAGAAAATTTACAAAAGTTTGGCGAACGTTTAGGACCGATTCAAAGGAACATCGAAGATGCCAACGATCAAGCGAGTCTTTTTGCATCGAGCAGCGTTATTGTTTCTCATGCTCTATTAGCAAAACTTGAAGATCTTAACACAAGGTACGAGTCCTTTGATCCAACTAAAAAGAAAAAGTGATAAAATTCAATTTTATTGAATCTAGAAAACTTAATTTTTTTTTTCCGAAATCAAATTTCAACTAAAGCTTTAACACTCACGCAATCGAAACTTGGAATTCCCAAGAAAACCTCAATCTCTTAACATTTCATAGAATCTCACGAGTTTCGATAAATTTCAAGTTTGCACGACAAGGTTTAGTGCAAAACTTTCTCATAGCTTCTTCAAACTATATATATAAAGCCATGAAAAAGTTTATGCAAACTGAAAATAACATTTAAATAAAAAAAAATTTTTTATTTTGTCTAAAAGTAAGAAATGAAAATTAAATTGCGAAATATATGATAAAAAAAAAAGGAATATTTAATCAATTTTCTATTTTATTTTTTTGTAGATGGAAAGTTTTGCAAGTTGCAGTCGACGAACGTTATAAACTGTTAAGCGGATTTGGAAAGGATGGCAGCACTCCGGGTAGTCAGGCTTTCCTCGCTAGTAGCGTAGAACCACCGTGGGAAAGAGCCCTTACTCCCGCCAAAGTGCCTTATTATATCAAGTAATTAAATTTTTATATAATCACTTCTTCACATTATCAAGACCTATATATTGAAATAAGAATTTCATTAATCCTCTGATAATAATTTAAGTTTTCAAGTATAATATGTCATTATAAAATTTGATGAAAAAAGAGGGAAAAATTCTTTTAAACATTGTTAAACAAATTAAATATTTTTACATTAAATTTTATTTTTTCTTTGTGTAAATTAATTTTTAACTAATGCAAAAAAAAAAAAACTTTATTGAATATTGATTTGATAAATTGAATTAAACAAAAACAAATTTCATTTGTTGGAGATTAAACCTCATGAATATGCAAAAATACAATTTCAATATACATATAGCAATATTTTAATCACATTTTGTGTTTCAATTTTCGCTGATATGAAAATACGAGTACATTAAACTAAATATATTACTTTTTTTTCAGCCATCAATTGGAAACGACGCACTGGGACCATCCGAAAATGATTGAATTGATGACTTCACTCTCAGATCTCAACGAAGTTCGTTTTTCCGCTTACAGAACTGCAATGAAATTGCGCACGGTGCAGAAACGATTATGCTGTAAGATATTTATTTTTTTCCTTTCATTAAAAAAAAAAAATTCTAAACTATAAAAATACAAATAAATTCGAAAATTAATTAATTTATTTATTATTAATTAATTAATTAATGTTCCACAGTGGACGTGTTGAGTCTCTCAAATGCATTGGAACAATTTGACTCACATGGATTGAGAGCACAAAACGATAAACTCATCGATATACCAGATATGGTTACTGTTTTGACTTCCTTGTACGAAATAATTTCAGCGGATAATGCCACTCAAGTTTTAGTGCCACTTTGTATAGATCTTGCCATCAATTGGCTTCTCAATGTTTACGACAGGTTGAAATTTCTCTAATTTACTTTTTTTAGAAACTAAACTAAAATAATTCAAATACTAATAAAAATAGAATATTTTAGTTTATTAAAAAAAATATATATTTTTTTTTGTTTTAGCCAACGAACTGGACAAATTCGTGTTTTATCATTCAAAGTTGGACTCGTTTTGTTGTGTAAAGGACATTTAGAAGAAAAATATAGATGTGAGTACAAAAAATTAAATGTAAAGACATTATTTTATTTAAATACAAATTTCTTTTAAATGGAATTAAATTCATTTTTTTGAACAATTTTATTACAGATCTATTCCGTTTGATTGCGGACACAAATAGGCTAGTTGATCAAAGAAAATTGGGATTGCTTTTGCATGATTGCATTCAAGTGCCAAGGCAACTCGGTGAAGTTGCAGCGTTTGGAGGATCAAATATTGAGCCAAGTGTTCGCAGTTGTTTCGAGAAAGCGGGCAAGGATAAAAATGAAATTGAGGCTGTGCACTTTTTAAGTTGGTTACAACAAGAACCCCAAAGTATGGTTTGGCTACCAGTACTTCATCGATTGTCAGCAGCCGAAACAGCCAAGCATCAAGCGAAATGCAACATCTGCAAGGAATATCCCATCATTGGTTTCAGGTATTAAAAATAAATTTCATTTCATTATTTTGTAATAATTTGAAGAAAAAAAAATTATATTTAAAACTCTTTTTTTTAGATATCGTTGCTTAAAGTGTTTCAATTTCGATATGTGTCAAACGTGTTTCTTCTCGGGACGAAAAGCGAAAAATCACAAACTAACACATCCAATGCAAGAATATTGTACAGCGGTAAGATTGTAAATTATTTCCTTTTTTTTTGTAAATTAGAAAAAAAGAAAAGAAGAGAAAAAATAATTGTAATTTTTTTTAGACAACATCTGGCGAGGACGTGAGAGATTTTACAAGAGCATTGCGCAACAAGTTCAAATCGAAACGATATTTCAAGAAACATCCAAGAGTTGGTTATTTGCCAGTTCAAACTGTATTGGAAGGTGATGCACTTGAAAGTCCAGCACCATCGCCACAGCATAGTTCATTGAGTCAGGATATGCATTCACGATTGGAAATGTATGCTTCGCGGCTGGCTGAAGTGGAATTATCACGAACGCGAAGTAATTCAACGCCCGACAGTGATGATGAACATCAATTAATTGCGCACTATTGTCACAGTCTCAATGGTGGTGATAATGTTAATGTACCACGAAGTCCTGTACAAGTGATGGCGGCAATTGACGCCGAACAGAGAGAAGAACTTGAGGCAATGATACGCGAACTCGAAGAGGAGAATGCAACATTACAAGCGGAATATGAGAGATTACGCTCTAAGCAAACACCAGGTTCAACGCCTGAGGATGGACACGGAAGACAACCTGACTGTGATATGATTGCCGAGGCGAAATTATTGCGACAACATAAGGGTCGATTGGAGGCACGAATGCAAATTCTTGAGGATCATAATCGACAGCTGGAGGCACAGCTACAGAGACTGAGACAACTTTTAGATGAGGTATTTTGATAAAATTTTCATTTTCATTTATAGTTTGATAAAAGTAAATTAATTAATTATTTACAATATACGAAAAAATAAATGATTAATTAAAAATATTTGTTTATTTAGCCGAATGTATCTTCGCCATCAAAGACAGGGACTTTGCAAACACGCAGTGTAACTGCTTCGCAATTAGCTACTGACTCTCCAGCCAAAATGAACGGTCATTATCATGATACGCCAGGTAATGAATATTAAATTAATAAGTTGGGAATCCAATATTAACAGTGCTAGAGAACAATTTTTTTAACTAAATGGTTTTCCTTTTTTACATTTTCGATTTAAAATCAGGGATTGGTTTAAAAAAATTTATTCAATTGTTTTTTTTGTGATAAATAATTGTTTTTACTAACATTATTATATATATATATTATAAACGGTATCAGAATAATTTTGATGAGAATGGCTTGAGCTTGTATTATAACTGTATTATACACGCTATTGCGTATGTGGGCTTAGGAGGTGGAGGTTCAGGCGAAGGCAGAATAAGCAGCTTAGAAAGGCCACCACCGCCACCACATTCTCACAGTGTTTCCCATAATGTGGGTAATCTCTTGCATATGGCAGGTTCGTTTATATAATTCAGTGTCTCGTTTATTACTCCAAAAAACCTTTTCGACATATACTAATACATTTTTCTTCTCTTCCTTTTTTAATGCCTACCCCCCCAATAGCATGGATGTGAGAGGTAATTTGAAACCAACCAATTTTCATTTTTGGAAAAAAACAAAAATATTTGTATCTAACAAGTTGAAAAAAAAATTCTAAGCTTTTAACATTATTATGCGTTACCTGTAATGTAAATTAATCTAGTTTTGCGATTTAATTTCGCAAAATCTGTGAAAATTATTTTACTTTAACAAGCGTCAAAAATGAAATAAAATGAAAAATAAGAATGCAATAAAAAAAAAATATTCTTAATTTACAGTTAATTTCATTTTTCAGGAGATTTGGGAAAAGCAGTCGGTGAATTGGTAACTGTAATGACTGAAGATTCAACGAAGACAAATGGACAGAGGGCACCTCCTCCGGCTTTCAAATAATTCCATAAAATGCGAGAAAGGCCTCTTAATAATTGCTTCGATGATAACAAAAAAAAAAATATATATATATTGTCTTATACTTAATAAACAAGTATATCGTTTTGTAATCGTTTCCGATGACCAAGAAAAAGTCTGGCTCTAACGCATATCATAGAAAAAAATTTTTTCATGGCTGTAACAAAAAATTGCGTATGGGATATATAGAAAAAAAAAAAACGCAAATTGTTCAGGGGACTTAACCATCGAGGTTTTGGGCATTTTATAAGTTTTTTGATATACGCCACTGTATAGCTGAATTATATAAATATATATAAAAATATATATACCGACAGTTACAATTTTTGGCTTTGGCAGTCCCTTGAAAGGAACTATAAACATTTGACTTACCATATCATGATTCTTAAATTCTTACAAAGAATCAATTGTTATGCTTGCTAGCTAAATTACATAAAAAAAAAGATTAAAACCAAAAAAAAACTGGTTATAAATATATATATATATATATATTTAAAACGAATATTTAAAAAAAAAAATGCATGCAAAGCAAATGTGTCGAATCGCATACTCTATAGATCGTAGACTTGTATTTAAAACGAAAAAAAAAAACAATATGCCCGTTATGTTTACATTGCCACCAATTTTTTCTCAGTTGCAACATCTTGTATCCATATCAAATATAATAATTCTTCCCGAAACAAGGAATGCAAATGGAAAAAAAAATGTGGTTTATATATCTGAAATTTTTTAAAAACTTTATTGGGCAATCACTTTGAGTCTACGTTGTCAAAAAGAGACAAAACACTTTTTTTATTCAAAAAAAAAAAACTATAGTTGAAAAAATCGAAACAATAATTAATGATTGTTACGACCATCCAAGATTATTTTTTAATCCAATGACCAGATACTTTTTATACATTTTGTATGGAGACGTGTGAGGCGATTACTTTTTATTTTCCAATCTCCCAAACGTTACTTATATTTAAAGATATATTGATAATTACTTAAATTACCAACTGTAGACTGTATTCTGATATCCTGTAATAAAGTTGTCTAGAAAATAAATACTTCTTCCTTCTAATATTCCCATAATATTTTTTTCAATATAAAGCGCCTTATCGAAAATTTATGTTGAAAATTAATAGAAATTATCATTTACAAAAAATAGTTTATCAATTAAAAATAATGGAGTAATAAAAAAGAAGATTAGTGGGATTAATATTATTTTGGTTATTGAAAAAAATTAAGACAAAGCCAAATTAGCAAACAATTTTATAAGAATTTATTAGTATTCGTAATGAAAACTGCACTGTACATAATTTTACCACTGAAAATAAAGAAGTGCATTGTTTTTGTTTTTAAGTATACACGTAATAAAAACTACTTGATGATTATGAAAAGCCATTATTTTATTATTTAATGACTCTCCATTTGATAAATAATCTAAAAACCTAATGGAACATACAAAGAAAATTATATTAATTTATTTAAGGGATTTGCCATTTGAACAATAGGCTAACTATTTTATGTATAAAATTCAGGTAGATGAAAAAATGGGACTGAAAACTCAAGTTAAACTCTTTTTTTATCTCGCAGTTAAATAAGAATAATAAACCCGCTTTAAACGGTGCATATTCACACTTAGCTTTCTTTTTTTTAAAAAAATAATCATTGCTAAGCCATTTTGTTTGTTTATTACATTAATTATTTTAATATAATCTTAATCTAATATCACAATGACTTCAAGACAGTCGAGACGTCCAATAAATGAGACTAACAATTATTTCTCTGTAAACTACTTTGGAAATACAATTATCTTCGCTTTCAGGTTTTACTATACATTTATATAAAAATTACAATGCAATTTTTTTTTAAAAACTATACCAGAGTAACAAAATTTCTTTTTAAATACATTTTTTTCAATTTTTGAAAAGAAAATTGAAATACAAATATCTAATTTCATCTTAATTTTTCTTTTTACTGAGATATGTTGTAAGTTTCAATTCGATTGGAATTAGTTTTTTTTTTCAAATCAATGTCTTTTTCTCGTTCTGACAATTTCGCATAGATTCAATTGTGATAACTTTGAAATATAAATAATTGGTAACGCATAATAATGAAAATTATTCACATAATTAAAATCATTTTACATCTCGATCCTCTCCTCTGGTAAAAACCAATGAAATCTTTTCTTTTTTTTTTGGTACGTTTTACAGAAGAAATTGTATACAAATACAAATGAGAATTTACAAACGTACAAATTTAAAAAAAGAAATGAAAAGAACTTTTGATTAAATAAGAAATTAACAGAATGTTTTTTGTTAATTTCGAAACAAGAATTATTTTTTTTTATAAACATATAAGACAAAACTATCAAGCATTAACTGTTAAGTTTAGAAGAAAAGAAAACCTTTTTATGTCTATAGTTTGGACAGTGTGCATGAAAAATGTTATTCCCTGAAAATTTGTTAAGGACACAAATATTTTCTTCAATCATAAGTGTGTCGATTTGTTGAAAAAAAATTATCAAAATCGCACAATTTTTATTTTTCTTAATTTTAATGGCTTTTTTCAAAAGAATCGCGTATCTTCGTTTTAACGTATTTTATTTAATTAATCGCTTTTCTTTTGTGTTTCAATTAATAATTCTTTTTTTCCCCCTGAAGATTGTTGAAAAATTCATTTTCAATGTCATTGTGCACAACAAATGTAATTCTAAATCCCCTTAATCAGTAATGAATTCACTATTTACAGAATAATTAAATTGTAAAATCTGATCTAATCTTGATCACAAAAACACGAGTAAAAAAGAATGTGAATTCTTAATAACTCGTTTAATTCGTTACTTTTGTCGGTTAAAATTCATCGACTATTTTTTTTAATAGAATATCACTAACTGAAAAAAAGGCCGTTAAGGTGGTTCTAGAAGATAGGCTCTAGCACGAGCAGTCATTTTACGTACACGTCCCCTGCTGCTAATTGTTATACCATTTCTAACTTCTGGCACACTCTCGTCACTTTCTTCCGTGTAACATCTTTTTTTAACATTACGACGATTTCTCACCGGTTCGCCATTACTATCCTCGCTGTCTTCATTGTAATGAGGACGTTTACCACGTCTTCGTGACGATTGTGTTTCATCTTGGCTATCTGAATCATGAGACATTTGAGACCTTGTTTGAGATCGTGTCGATTTTAATGGTGAATCAGTATCCTGACTATCAGAATCTTGAGGATCATTTGATCCATTATTTTGTTCCTCCTCGGCACTTTCACTGATACTATTATCGTTCGATGCACTTTGACTAATATTTTTATTCACAACCTTACAGGCCCTTGAACTTGTTCGACGAATAACTTCATGTTCACTTTCTTCGGACGATTGTGCCACGAAAATTCGTTGATTCAAGGAAAATGTTTCAGTCTCCTCTTCATTGTTTTCTTCTTCTTCCTCTTCTTCTTCTTCATTGTCGTCATCTTCATCCTCATCTTCTTGATCGTCGTCGTCGTCTTCATCGTCAATTAGTCGCTTCTTTTTCGGTTTAATTACCTTTAATCTACTATTTTTTGCTCGATTCTTCTTTGTTTGTTTACCACGACCTCCTGGTTTGTAACTTTCCTCCGAATCACTGTCATTGACATCACTGGCTATTGTCTTCCTTGATCTAGTTCTACGGAAAGGTTCACTATTACTGCTCTCACTTTCCGATACTTCGGAATCACTCATTTCACCATAGTTCAATTTATTTTTCTTTGGCGATGCATTCCTCGGTAACCTGTGTTTTATATTTGATCGAGAAGAAGTGCCAGTACGCTTCACGTGTCCATTTGCTAATCGCGATGGACCTGGAGAAATAATTCAGTTCCAATTAGAATTTTTTTTAAATTAAGCAAAATTATATAATTTTCTTATTTTTAGAACATTAAGATTTTTTATTTTAATATCGTGATTATAAAAAATGGCTAAGTGCAATTAAATTTTTTAGTTTCTTACCTGGACCATCGTTTCGAGTTGAATCGTCGTCATCGTCATCATCATCGTAATCCTCATAATTTACATTATTCCCATCATTTTCATCACTACTATCAGATTCCCTTGACGGTCCTGTGAACAATTAAAGCGACATTTTGAAGTGAAAGAGCGCGTCACAATTGTTTAAATAAATAAATTCAGTAAAAAAAAATTGTTTTTACTCACCAGCTCCATTTGTTAGTCGTTTGCCTCCTTTTGTTATCGCTTTACCCTTTCCTTTTACTTTCGATTTTTCTTTTGGTTTCCTTTTATCGTTTGACATTCGTCTATTTGCCGATTTCCAGCCAGATAAAACTTTGCGCATCAATTCTTCAAACATTGCTGATAATCTTATTGTCATTGTGAATATCTGAAAAAAAACAAATTCATTTTATTGATGTAATAAAAAAATTATAAATTAATATAATTAACACTATTATTATTAATATAATTACCTTTGAACGTTTATTCGTATTATAAGTTCTGCTATTTGTAAAAATTAATCTCACATCTTTGGCAAATTCCGCGGGTGTTTCATAATTTCCACCTGTTAAATCTTCTTTTACTGTTCCTAGATCCATTGGTGTGTCAATAATTTGATAATAATCTCCGTGCTCGAGCCTATCTACAGGTTCCCTACAAAAAAAAAAAAATATATTATTTTCACAATTTTTCAATAATTTCTTTAATTTTCTAAGAAAATTAAAATAATCATACCTAAACGGAATTGAATCTTCACACTGCCAAAGTGTTTCTAATAATTGGCGACAGGCAGTTTTCCAATCTTGAGCAAATGTTTGTGATCTCAGTCGTTTACTCGAAGATGATCTTAATCTACTAGTTGAGGGTTTTTCACTATTTTCTTCTACATCAATATCAGACTCGGATGAATGATACGTATCAACTAATTGATGATAAACTGCTGCAACATCTAATTCTGTGGTATCTCTGCAAAAAAAAGAGAAAAATAAATATTTATCTACAAACAAAAAGAATTACTTAATAATTCATTTTTGGCTAACTTACTTTATAATCTTTAAACAAAGATCAGTGACGATCCTCGCCTGTTTAACAATATGACTGTGTGGCTCATTGAATTCTTCAGCATTCGTTGCCAAATATCTAACATCAAATTGTGCAGAGGTGATTCTTCGATAAAAATGATTTTCAAATCGTGCTTTTATTGTTGACAAATCAATGGGATATTCAACGACAAAAGCGTACGAGGGATAAATATTAAGATCAACAGGAACGACAAATGGTTCGGCAATTGCTAAACTCATAACTTGATCAAGTCCACGTATAATTCGTCGACATGTCGCCTCTCTGTCGCCCATTGGCCATTCCTCGGCCTGTGGTTGATATAAAATTGCTTGAATTTCTTCTGGAAGCACAGGAACAGCACCACCAACAACATCGGGAAGTCTCTCCTCATCAACTGGTTCAAGATCCCAGGGACTCATTTTTTCAATTTCACCATTGTCCCATCTCACGTGGAAGCACATAAAATAAGAATCGGGAAAATTTTCATCGAGCGGCTCCATCGATTGAATTTGTCCCATCCACCAGCCATCGTCAATCATACAACGAAATCTATCGCCCAACGACCATGAACGTGCCAATGCCGTTTCAAATGTTTGTCTAAGTACAAGAAAATCAAGAACATCGGCCATATCGTGATATTTAATGGTAAAATTTTCACCTGTCAAACGACCATCTTCATCCATTATCGCAAGTTTTAAACAACAAAGTCTAGGCGGTCGTATCTCGTATTTAATACCAACAACTTTCACATATTCCATGGCTTTGATGGTCATTTTTGACCATGGCTCACAACGTGGTCCCAATTCGTAGACTTTTTTCTTTTTCACCGCATCAATATAAAATTGATGACCCTGTCGAAAGTAAACAATTTCATCTCCCATTTGTGGATAATAAGGCGCTTTTCTCGGTATCACTTCAGTGAGCCATTCAGTTGGACGATATGCTTCAGGCACTTCATCAAGTCCATTTGGTGCTGGTATAACAACTTTCTTCTTCGGTCGTTGACTTCGTCGTCGATCAGTGTCACTTTGCGGTGTCACTGATCTCTTCTTCACTGGTCTACGTTTACTTCGTTTCGGTGGTTCTAAATTAACTCCATGATCAGCCATCCAATCTGAATATTCACTACTTGGATTCGAACTCGAACTATCCGAACAAATATCAGCGTCATCAGCCGATGAATCATTACTATTAGAACTCGCCGAACTACCACTTGTTGCATTTGCATCGGGATCATCATAATCCTCTTCTTCTTGTTCATCTTCTCTCGCCGCTCTTGTTCTATATCCATGTCTTGTTGCTCGATTTCGTTTATTACGATTCAAACGATTACCAATACCACCTTGCATTTCATTACCAGTTGAAACAATCTTTGGCCTTCGTTGCATTTCTCTTCGCCACGATTCCAATTCCATTTCAGCCATTGCATTTATCTGATTCAATTGAGTTTCAAGAGTAGCTGGATTCAATGGTTTCACTAAAATCGGTTTATTCCAAGGTGTTGTATTATCACGTTGCCAATTACCACTACTTTGTCTCACACCTTCAACATCACCAACTCGTCTCAATCCTGGACGATTACCCCTTGGACTTGATATTTGTCTCAATGGCGCTTCACCTTGATTATCATCACGTTCATTCTCAACATTTTCACCTTCAACATTTATATTCTGCCTCTGTGCAAGTGCCTCGATCAATCTATCAATATTCGAACGTGGTTCATGTGCTGGAAGACCTTCAATAACTTCTTGCATTCCACCAGCTCCCACAGCAATATTAGGCACCAATTGTTCACCACGACAATTTTCCCTACCAGGCACCAATCGTTGTAATGCCGGTGGATACGGATTACCATCAACATCAACCAAAAATGGTGGTGGCATTAAATGCGGCGCCGTTTGTGTCTGCTCATCCAAAACATAATTATTCGAATCTCTTATCAATGGTCGATAGTCCGTATGAAAGAACAATTCTTTTGGTACAATTTTCAATAATTCAACACCGGCACCAAAACCATACATCATCAAATGACCATGTGAATCAGTAGCAGCCAACATTGTTCCATCGGGTGACCATTTTGCATCAAAAACTGCACCATTACCTTGTCCTTGAATGAAATTTTGAAAACATGCTATTGGATCGGATTTCAATACATCCCAAATAATCAACTGTCCATCGTGACCGGCACTTAAAATAATTCTCGGATCAATTGGATGTGATTCAAGAACAAAAACTTCATCCTTATGACCACGTAGAACTTTTACTAATTCCGCCGTTCTTGCATTCCATACCTTTAGTGAACTATCGTTAACAGCTGTTATAACAAACTCATCACTCGAATCCCAATTGACCATAGTAACTTTCGCTTTTTTTGTCGTTTCCTCATCGACTTCTGGCTCGCCTGGTAATTTTGCCGTCATTATAAGACGTTTATGCATCCACTGTTGTTGCTCAAAATGCCAAACATTAGCAGTACCATCTTTTGAACCGGAAATAAATCTTAGACCATGATGATGACACCATTGAATACTATCGACAGTGTCACTGTGTGCTTCAACTTCAAGTACACGTCTTGGACCTTCATCACCAATCATTGCATAAACACGAACATGATGATCAGCCGAACCAGCTGCCATAAATGCACCACCTGCACTAAACGAAGCACAAATCATTTGCGCCTGTCCTGGACGCATTTTCTCATGATATTGTATTGGTTTCGTTTGAAAAACAGCTCTCTCATTTGTTTTCTTCGTATGTGGCCAAAATGCAACAGAACCATCGCTACTTGTTGACACTAAATAATAAATATCATTACTTGATATCGGACAAAATTTCACTGATGTTATCATTCCTGAATGTCCCGATAAAACGGCAACCGGTGACATTGTTTGAAAACACCAAACACGTAATACTTTATCCAAACTTCCGGCTGCCAATAAAGTATTATCAAAATTCACTGCAATATCCATAATTTCAGCTGAAGCACCACGAAAAGTTGCCAATAAACGACCATCGCTTGAACTCCAAACTTTTACAAGTAAATCATCAGCACCGGTTATCACATATTTACCAGTGCGATCATAAAGAACACAATAAACAGCTGACAAATGTCCCAATGTATGACGATATAATTGTAATTTATTGTAAAATGATGGTTGAATCACTTCGTGTCTACTTAATGGTCCAGAATTCTCTCTACCTTGAAGAACTTTAACTGCAGAATAAAAAAAAAAATTACAAAACTAATCTATTTTTCATCTCGATTCTAAAATTTAAAATTATCACCAACTTACCAACATTATGTATCATCGATGAATTCGAAACTCCCATAAAAGTCTTTCCACTTAATCTTCCAGAATAAAGTGAAACTCCACGAGAATTTTGCAACAAATCTAAATTAGAAAGTAACTCATAATTTTCATTGGACAAAAATGTAATTTTAAAAAGGAAAATTAAAATAGAAACAATTTCTATTTTCTTACCTGCTTTTGTGCGTAGAAGCGATTGTTTTCCTGCCCCTAATAAGGAAATAGCTCCAGTTATACAAGGAGGAATTTCCTTCTCCAAAACTGGACCAATTCGAGCACATATTTGCAAAAGATGTTGTGTTCCAATGTGAGAATATTTTTTTTCCTAAAAAGAAAGGAAACAAAAAATTATTCAAACAATTTCTAAATAAATTTTTCCGCCAAAATTTGAAAAACTAAACAAAAATCATATCACAAACTGGACCAATGAATACACTTTTAAGAAATTGTAACCAATTGGAAAACTTGTGTTATTACGCGCAGTATGGCAGTTCTATAAATACGACGCGTAAACATATATTCATTGATCAGCCTGGTCAAAATGGCCGACGGAAAAATATCATTGGATGAAAGAATCAACAGTGGGGAGACTTGTGCAACAGCTATACACACACTGACTTTTTTAGAAGAGGGGGTGTGAGGAGAAAGGAGTGCTAAAGAAGGAAACAAGAGTGGGATTCGGAATGGGGGTTGAAGAGACACGACAAAGGTACTTTATTTACCAGTGAACCAAACCTCCGCAACCATTTATCGACCGATAAGAACTGAATGAAAAGAGCCATAAATAAAATTAAATCCTCAATTAATATTATAAACCCACCTCTAATTCATTAATTTGAAAATTATTTCAATTTTCAACTTCAATAATGGCAAAATTAATACATACCAATTCCTCAAAACTTTGATTATGTAAATTTCCTTCCCAATCGAGTCTTTGGGGTAAAATCTGTGAAAAAAACCAAAAACAAAATTAAAAATAAGAAAAAAATTTTTTTTTTTTCTCAAAAAAAATAGTATCACAATCAATGACGCAATGTCACTAACATTGCAATTCTAATGTTTTGACAAGCAGAAACCACGTGCAAACCATGTGGAGCCACTGGCTATGTACAGTGACCCCCGGCAAAACGTCAACTGCAAAGTTTTAGTCTTACCTTGATCCGCTCCAATTCTCCTTTTAACACCTGGAAAGTGAAAATTTTTGAGGTTAGCTTATGATAAAATTTTCAACTACACAAGACAATTTTATTTCATTATACCTTCGCAGCATCTTGACATGGCCCTGCCGTGAGAAACTTGGCAATCAGGAAGTACAGCTCTGAAAGAAAAGAACGCTTTACAGTTGAGAATCAAGTCACACGCTCACTTAATGTTTTCACAAAAATGATCATTCTATTTTCATCAGACTCCATTGTTTACCTGGCGCTATAACTTCCTCGTTTCTCGACGAACCAGCCTCCATTCTGGTAAGTGTGACCACAATTATTCACTCACGCACGCAAAGAAATATTTATTTTTTCGGATCATTACGATCAGAAACATTTCACATTTCGTTTTGTCTCTCGTAAGATTCACGAGCCGCGTTACACATCTAAACGCTGTGACACACGCCACAAGAAAGTAGTTCCACTTTTGTTCTCTATAGAGAGGGGGAATATGATGACACTACGATGACATTACATGATTACCATACAGTTAGAATAATTGTTACAGGTATCTTAAATTATTTAACAATCAAGCACTAAATTTGATTGATTATTAGCTTAATTAAATTATAGATAGCTTTTTAAATATACTGTATATGTATATTTTAAGGTTATGTATAACGATTCTTTTCTATTGACCAATCATAACATTCTACGAGAAGAATCCGTAACTTCTTATTGGTGGAATAAAGAAATTTTCATTTCCCGCCATATATTACAAAATTTGAATTATGTGTAAATTGCTAAATTAGTAATTATTTATTTAAAAAGCTACTAAATGAAATTGAATTTTTTTTAATAATGGTAATAGGTTTATCATTATTATTAAATAATTTATAACAGTAAAAGTTTTATTGTCCAGCAACCCCATACATATTTATCTATTTCATGAAAAATATTTACAAAAAGTGATCTACAAACAATAAGATGCAATAATGTAAATTTATAATTAACAAAATGAATTTAAAACTATAAAGTGAACTTTTTTTTTCTCTTTAATTAATAAATTTTGAATTCATTCCATTTTAATTAATTATTATCTAGTATAATTTTAAAATTATTTTTGATTCAGTGATTTTGTTCGTGAAAAACATTTTACATAAGGAAATATTCATTAACAATAAAATTATTTTCAAATGTAAAAATCTATAAAGTGTGCAATTAAAATTATCATTGCTCTTTTAATACATAAAAAAACAATAGTTTTTTCTATTGTAATGGTAATTGTTCATTGTTTTATGACGTAAAATTTTACGTACATTTGTTTCACCTATTATTTTTTGTTCAATCAAAATTACATTTAAACATAAACATTGAATTACTTAATATGTAATTATTTAAATGTGCAAAATTTATTAAGTAAAGTTAAATTAAAAATTACTAATATAATATTCAATTAAAAATCTACTTTGGCAAATAAAAAAAGAAATTGAATTTCGTTATAATGAAACTATTTTTCTATTTATAAATTATGTTCTGTATGAAAGTATTAAATAACAAAAAAAAAAACCTTACTTTTGAATACTACGATCTTTAAAAGAGATCATCTCACTTTTCTAAATCGTCTCGACCACATTGATCAAGTAATTCTCTATACAATTTCAACTCGATTGTTTTTATCAAGTATTATGTTTCTTTTCCTAATTTCATAGCCTTGATGCAAGGTTTTTAATCCATTTATTCAAGAACCAAATTCTTGAGTATCTGAGTCAATTGGCTTAAATTCGTAATCACCTCGTCCGTCCATTCTCAAATAGTACTAAAAACAAATTAAAATTATTTTTTATTTACATTAATTGAAAAAAAAATGAGAAAAAAATGGAATAAATTATACCTCATGATGTTTCCAAAGAGATCTTCGATGAGAGACGGTAAAAAGTGTAATATTTTCTTGTTTACAATATGAGTACATAGAATCTTCAACGTCAACACTCACAGCACTTGTGCACTCATCGAGAATTGCAAATTGTGGTTTATGATAAAATAATCTCGCCATCTGCGCAAAAAAAAAAAGAAGATGTAAATGAATTTTTTTTTCTGTCATAAATTAAATGCATCAGCAATTTTGAAATAATATTAAAATTACAGCTATTCGTTGCTTTTCTCCTCCTGATAAAACATCCATCCAATCGGCAACTGTATCCCAACCTTGACCTTGACTATTTGATTGTGTCTCTCGTTCCAAAAGATGACCCAATTGAACTAAATCCAAAAATTTCTTCAAATCCTCATCTTTTGCATTACCACGTCTTATCATTTCCGCTCGTGTATGTGGATAAATAACTTGATCCCTCAATGTTCCCAATGTCATATAAGGCCTTTGTGGAATGTAGAATAATTTTCCACGAGGCGGTTTTGTCACAGTACCACCCCAAACTGGCCAGAGCTGAAAAAATTCATATTACATTAAAAACTAGTAAATAAATAATTAATTAATTTTTTTAATTCAAAAAAAATTATACTTACTTCTCCTAAAACTCGGAAAAGTGAACTCTTTCCACAGCCATTTGGTCCACAAACCAAAACATTCATACCAGATTTAACTTCAAAACTTAATTCCTTAATGAGAATATCGCCATTTGGTGTGACAAGTGGCACACAATCAAATCGAATCATATTGTCTTTTGCTATAATTTTTCCATCACCTGGCCGACCAATTGAATTTGTCGTCAAACCAGCAACCATTGTTCTTTCATATTTACCTACATTTAAATCAGCAAGAACATTTTTAATTTCCGTCACTCTCGCAGTGAATCCCGCCAATCGTGTCATTTCACGTCCAGCCAAAATTAATCGACCAATTGCTTCTGCCAATTTCACTAGCATACGACCATAAGTATAATAATACTTGAATCGATGATCTGGTGTACCAGAAAGAATTGGATGATTTTTCTGTAGGAATGGTATACTAACGGCGTAAAATCCAACAACTGACGCCACATCTAAAATTAAAATTATTTTATATTAAACAATTTTATATATTAAAAATGTTCTTAATTTAAAAGATTTATTGCAAAAGTATTTTTAAATTTTACGCACATTTTCCAACAAAATTATCAACTACACCAATTGCTACCCTGAATTCTAGGAATTTTCGTAAATGCGTTACCTGAGAAAAAAAATTAACAATTTAAATACAAAATTAATACTTACAAGTTAATTAATCGTGTAAAATTGATAATTGCTTTTAATTTAAATAAATGAATTTTAAAATGTAAATCAAACTTACGAGTTTGTGAAAACTAGCAAGAAGTGTTAGTTTTTCACGTGAACTTCCTTGATAGAAAGAAACTTCTTCTGAATTTGTTATTAATCGCGAATGAATGTGTCGATATTCACCCTCAAGACGTTGTTCTTTAACTGTTAATTGTGAAATTGGTTTTCGTAAATGTGTCAAAAAACCTCCAGCAAGTATCAAATACGAAAGCATTATAAGTGGCGTCTAAAAAAAGAAATTATTAGAATTTAGAAATAACTTAAATATTGGTATCGAACTTTAATATACCTGTCCACCAAGAGTTGACGTTAATCTATAAACATAAATAGAGATGTCCAACATTGGTTTCGCAAGATTACTATAGAGATCAGTACAGCTTTCGCAAAATTTATCAACATCAGTTGACAATAATTGATCGGGATTTGCAATTCTCGTATCCAAATTGCTCATTTTGTAATAAGTGAATCCCCTGAAAATTAAATTAACTATTCATTTATGATTCAGCAAGAATGCTTATGCAAAAGGCTATTTTTAATTAAAAATGTAACTTAGGTCCAAACAATTCCATTCACCTTTAACCCGACTTAATAGGTGAATGTTAATCATATGATTATATAAATTTTTCAACGGGTTCATTTTATTATATGAAAAAATAAATCGTGTGAACCCAAATAATATAAATATATAAATAAATGCTTGAATATTAATCACCTACTTAAGATACTGATCGATCATATAGCGACTTATGTTTGTCCTCAAGCGTAATTTCATTTCTCCTATACTGTATTTTAAAACATTATTTACCACTGAAACCTGAAAAAATCCAATGAATGCGTAAATTATAAAACTCACGTGAAATTAAATTATTTTTTTATAAAATATCATTTTCTATTTACCATTGGTAAAATAGCTAAAAATTTTAAAAGTCTCTTCTTGAATAAAGCTGCATTCATATTAACAATAGATCTAAAAAAATTCATTTGTTATTTAAATATAAATAATGATGATGATGGTAAAAATTTTTTTTTTAAAAAAACTATACGTTTCGATTAATGTTCCGGTTTGAATCATCCATAAATCACATATCGATCTAGCAACAAGAGATGCGGCAATAACAAAAATATAAGCCGATTCCACAGAAAAAACTCCAGGTATTCCAATAGAAAGTAATAGACGCAATTGTTTGAAAAAAGCTGCATTGACATGTGCTTTTGGTCCTTTAGGCTTCTCCTAAAAATAAAAAAAAATAAAAAATGTAAATTGTATTAAAATCAATTTAATTTAATTATTATTTCATTAATAGATAAATGTTAGATTAAAATTACATAAAAACATCATCTTATTTAATTTTGTTATTGCATAATTGTCTAATCACAGAAAGATTAATTTTTTTTTTTCATTATATACATATATTTATACCTCTTTGATAACATAGTGAATATCATTACTAGGCCAATTATTCCTGCAATAAAAAGTAATTAAAATTAAATTACAATGATAATAAAGGAAAAAGTGAAGAAAAAAGTGTGCAATAGTGGTTGTGTCATTTAATTGCTTCGTAAGGATTTTAATGACAAGTTTCGTATATGAAAGGAATTTAGAGTGACAGTTGTGAAATACATACTTTGATTTAACGATGCGTTTTTTGCTTCTTGATTTTAAAAACCAAATCAATGCTGAAATAGTTAAAGCACCAGCAGCAGTTCTTTTGTCGATAAATTTACTGAGTGTTGGCGCCATCCTTATTCTTATTGTTCAAAATATACACAGTATATATAAATTTCACCACGTTCTCAACGGGTGAAGTGTTGTGAATCGACTTCGGAGCAAAGAGCACATTAAATATGTGGTGGGGAAAATCCTTTCTCGCGGACGAACGAATCAGCTGGATCGCAAGTCACAGTCACACCATCATCGACAACACGACAACCAACAACCTAACCTTGTTGATTCATTTAATTCAATACCGTAATTATAAATGTATAGTACCCTCATCTTGATTGTTTGCCTTTTGTTTTAAATTTAATTTTGAGAAACAATTGATAATGTGATAATTGATAAACTGTGATAATTTAAAAACTTTAATCAGCTAATAATTTTATTTATAAAAATAAAAATAAACGTTGTATATCGTGTGACTGATTTTTTATTATATTTATACAAATAAAAAAAATGATTTTAAAGTATTTTAAATACACCCGCGGGAATAAGAAACCAATGAGCGCTGTTGTCGAGACGCATGCGTAGTTTGAGATCGCGGGTAAACCTAACCTTTAAATATTTTCAAATAATGAAAGTGTGCTCTTTGTAAATAAATAATAATTGTATATTTTAATAAAGAGACATTAATTACAGAAAATGAAGAATGTATCAAGACTTTTTGCTTTAAATGGAATATTAAACAACAATAATAGATTACTTCATCAACAAACAAGAGATAAAAATTCAGCAAATTATCAAAATTCAAAAAATACTTGGAAGGAAAAACATCCTTATAAACAAATTCACCCTTGGAAATCTGTCAACGAATTTTCTGAATTTCTAGTCCAAAATGTGATTTACAATAAAGGTAAGTTACTTTTTTGTACATATTATTGCAAATTTAAACAATGATTTTTTCTTATATTATAAAATATTAATTTATTATCACTTAGAAACTATATTTTTTAAGGAACGAAAAAAATATATTTCACATTTTACTGTTTATAGATGGCTTGGTTGCTATAAATAAACCATACGGAATTGCTGCGAGAAATCGAGACGACAAGGATAGAAAGTCTCGGTATTTACAAGAGAGTCTTAATAAAATTTCAAATGAAGTTAATTATACATTAACAAATTCCTTACCATACATTGCCAAACACCTTGGCTATGAAAAATTAACACTGGTAAAAGCGCCTGAAAGGTAATAATAATAAATTATTATTATCTTTAACATTTATTTTAATTGTCAAAATATTTTCTCAAATAGATATATGACTGGAGTTACATTGCTTGCTGCTGATAAATCTGTCGAAGATGCAATATTATCAACCGAACATCGAGCACTTACTTTAAAAAAACTTACAAAATCTTATTGGATAGTTACAACTAGACCTTGTGAAGAAACAATTGGAAAAAAGCAGTTAGGATTAAAATTATTAAAAAGTCCTTGTAAAAAATTCGAAAGGGTATAGTAAATCTTAATTATTTAATTCATTATATTCTTTCTTTTAGAATCTTTTATTAATCATTTATTTATTATTTTTCTAGCCTGTATTCGTTGATACGTGGTCTAAAATGGATATAAAAAGACAAGATGTCAAAATGATAGATATCGAACATAAACTATTATCAAATTCAAAAATGAATCTTAGTTCTCTAATTGAAATGAAAGTCACAACAAGAAAGTATCATGCAATAAGATTATTTGCAGCGACAAAATTACATAGTCCAGTACTTGGTGATAATAATCATGGATCGAGAATTCAAAATATCATGGGTACATGGATGACAGTTAATCCATTTCTCGATTCAGTTAGTCAACCACCAATACTTAATGAAAAACTTTTAAAAGCATTAAATTTATCTGAATTAATGCAAAATATTATCCCAGTACATATTCACTTAAGACAAGTTGAATTACTCCACTATTTAAAACGTGGAAAAAGTCTAAATATTCAAGCTCCATTATTTCCTGAATTTTCCTGGACATTTGATACTCTTGGTTTTGAATTATCCAATGAAACTGAATCAAATAATGAAGTAAACGAAGAAGAGAGGCAGTTTGTACAGAATTGTTAATAAATTTTTCAAAAAACAAAATTCCCACGAAATTTGATTGGAAGGTAAATGAATTTTTTTTTTAATTTAAAAAAAATTATGCGCTCAGTAAAAATAAAAAAATAGCGGGAAAAAAATTATAGAAAATATTTATACAAATTAGAATATTTTTATTAGAGAACTAATGTAATAATTAATGAGACAAGACATGACAACCTCTTAATATTCTTCTCATAATAATTTTTCTTCCTGAAAGTGTTGACATTCTTGTTTTCCATCCGTGTTTTCGAATTCTTTGAACTTCATTTGGACGTGGAAAATAATTTCTTGTTTTATTTCTAATTGACATTACATTGCAGCCTCCGTTTATTAATTGATTGGATAATGAAGGCGTAGCATTTACCGATGATATCACTTGCCTTCCTAGCATTGATCTATAAATTATATTACAAAATATATTAAAAATTGTCTTAGAAATAAAAAATAGATAATTGTTTTTATAAACAAAATTTATTCACAAATACTTACGGAACGGCATTAAAAAGAGAAGTCGCTAGTCTTCCAAACATTTTTCTTTCAATTCTCTGTTAATTACAAAAAGTAATAATAACTATATTTTGATAACAAATTTAAGGTTATTTTCAAAGGTTAGGTTATTTGCGGTTCTTAACTTCCGGTTTGCGCGCGCATTTCAAATTTTCGCGCCACAATTTAAATATTATTTTAAATATTGGACAAATTTTTTTTCTAATGTGTTCGCAAATTTTATTTTTGAAATACCCTCACTTCTGTAGACCCCGTTTTTTCTAACGGAAAATATTAGTTAAATTTTATCCACCCCAAGTGTTTGACGTAGTGATAACAGTGATAACAATTCCAGGTAATATTTTATATAGGTAATTTAATAGTAATATATAATATAAATGTGTCTTAATTAATTGGCCATAAATCTCATTCTTGAATTATTACATTTCTTTTGAAACGAGATGGGTGGGGTTTTAAAACAAATGTATATTTGATCAGGCACCCGCTACACACTGTCAATATGACAGTTGACAAGGCACAGGATGTTGCTTTTCCGCCGAAGAGCTTCATATGTGCGGCACTCCCTCGCCATAGAAATGAGTTCAATCGCCTTTTAGAAGTATTAGTATATCAATACTATTTATCACAACCATTCATAGTTCGTCGATTGAGCTGTATCTTCCAGCACATATTCGATATGTATATATGTATATAATTATAATGCTTACTATTTTATTATGAAAGACTTTCTATACCTGTATATATTTATTTCAATCTGATATTTCCATTCGTAATATTTTGATTTTGTATCTCTTGAATTTAAATAGAAATTCTTCAATTGACTAATTATTACATAATTTCTTTTTTTTATTATTTGCACAGTTAACCAAAAAGTTAGTTAAACGTTAACCTTCACAATGAAGTTCGTCATTTCGGTCCATTTCCCAGTAATATAATCCCTTGGTTATTATAAATTACTAAAACCCATTTAATTGGGAGAATTTAATCAATTAGTTACATATTTAATTAATTATCAGTTAAAGTTTGCATTAATTAGCAAATTTTTTTACTTGTATATTTTGAGGTTATGTTTTTTTAGAATTTTTTTAATATTCTTTTTTCGAAAATATACACTTGTTTAATTTAAATTTATTTAATTTCAGAGTGAGAATTTTCACACGGATTGGAGAAAAAGTACATATAAAGAAAAGGAAAAAAAATTGATCAGATATATAATTGTCGTCAAGGAAGAAATATTGATATGTCAATGACACACTACTTGGTAATATGCTTTTAAAAGATTAATTGTACTTCTTGTATACCGATATCTTAGAATGGCATCGGCCTCGTTTTAGTGCATATATTCATATAGGCTTTACAAAAATGTTAATGGTGTTACTTATATATACATATATACATCATGTCGCAATATCCGAGGGACGTGGCGTGACGCCTTCTTCATCGGGAAGTATATAGTATATCCCATTGTAGAAGAATTTTTTTCCTCCGTGGGGTGTATCGCATGGTCAGGATGATTCTCTAAACTCCTTTAACATTAAACCCTCCTTCTCCTTCATACAGTTACATAAACAAGTCACACTCCATGAATTTATCCATTTTAGATTATCTTATTTTGAAATTATTCATTTTTAATAATTTGTAATTTAATTTATTTGTTTTAAAATTATAATTTCACATTTTGTTAATGAGTCGTTTTTTTTAGGGAGAAGAAATTACAGAAAATGAGAAAATTATGATGAAAGGACGTTTTTTGAAAAAAGGTGGCGTTAAATTATCAAAAAAAAAAAAAAAAAATGATCGCCTAGTTAGAAGGCGTGAAAACATCGGTGTAATCAGCTCTGAAAACAAGAGGATTTCCAATAGTGTCTTCTTACTTCTCGCGCTTATATCTTCAGATCATGATAGGAGCTAAAGGAGACGCGAGCGTATATCCCTTCCCTTACTGCCACACAAAAAAGGTAATTACTGTTATTTTATCGAAAACTGTAATGCTCTCGCTTAAAGCCGCTCTACTTATGCGTATTATCTTTCTAAAGTTTCTGTGTGCCTGATCTTGGGGCGCAATCGTTTTCAAGCATCATTATAAAATTGCTTTGCCAAATGAAATGCCCCGCGCACTCTTTTAAAATATGAAATTTATTGCACAAATCAAAAACTGCCTTGTAAAATTCTTACTTCACGTCACATGAATATAAAAAAAAATTATTAAATTATATCCTTTATACATCGTATTTATAAATTACATATTTTCAAAAAATATTCTCTTAACAATATACTTGAATAATTTATTAATCTTATAATAAGTCAATATTTATTTATTTGAATTGGAAAAATTGGATAAATTTGATGTCTTGTAATTTTATTTATTTTTTTTTAAATATGAAGAAACCTTTTGTTATTTTATATATGAGAACGCGCTACCCCTTTAAGAGAAACTTGTAATTTGGATACTGACCCGTAATTTGGATTTACTTTTTTTTTTTTATTATAATCTTTGTTAGGCATATACGATCTCTCTTGAAGAATATGATCTCTTTGGTAAATGGATCTTCTTCAATGAAGACTTTAACGATTTTATATTCCTTCGGGTAATAATCATCGCGTGACTATATATAATGAGTTAATTAATTTTCAAAATAATTTTTAAATGTTTTATAAGAGACAAATTTCTTTTTTAAACATGATGGGAATTAAATTTATTATTTATAATATAACATTTATTGTGATTGTCTGTATATCTATAAAAAGAACAAAATTCATTTATTGATATGAATTTTGTTCTTTTTCGAATTAAAAATGGATGATTAATATTTAATTTGCTTTTTCTACTATAAAATTAAAGAGCTCTGGTTTGATATTATTTTTTCACTCAAAAATTGGGTAATTGCCCTAAATTGATTGTATATAATTAAAATTGCAACTGTTTGAATGGATTTTTTTTACTTTAAAAATTTATTCCAATCGATTGGACATTCTTTTTTCAGTTAAAAATGAAAAATACTCTCAACCTACATTTTGTTTTGTATTTAAAATTGAAAATATTCGATACATAAGTCACTTTTGTCTGACTCGATATACTTTTTTTCACTGAAAATGGAAAATTGAAAATGTCTGACTTGACGTACTTTTTCCACTTAAACATGAAAAACTTGTTCCATTTGACGTTTCTTTTCTACTTAAAACTAAAAGTTTGCTAAAACTTTGTTTTAACTTTTTTTTGCTTGAAATTTTTATAAAAAATATAAATAATAAAAATAAATTTTAATATTTTTTTTTTTTATAAAATAGTTTAATTCTTTTTTACATAACGATTGTTTATTACTTGAGAATATTAATAAATATAGTATAAAAATAGTAAATATTAGTAAAAAAAAATTTACATTTATTTAAATAACATTTAGTTATTTAAAATATTTTTATTTTATTTATACTTAAAACTAAATTAATATTATTCAAAATTAAAATTTTTTTTCTAAAATTTTCAAGACGTTATTTTCAAATCTCAAACTTTTTGAATTTGTAGTATTGACAAAAAGAGTTTAAAAAATGGAAATCGAAGAAGTTTATTGTAGAATGTAGATATATAAAGTTAAATTGAAGGAATTTTGGTTATCGAAAAAAGTATAAGCCAATTTTTTTTTGGGTGAAATGAAAGAACATCTTCTGTACTTGCGCACTATATATAGATATAGAAAATGTACATTACACCCTGGCTCTCCCACTTTTACTGCTATCACTGCAGTTACAACAGTCTTCGAGTGCACACGAAGTCAGGGTAGCTCCGGATTCGGTCCAGTTTCCTCAAAAAGTTTCTCATTTTCCCACCCTTTATTATAAATTAATAAAAAAAATTTTAAATTTATCTGTAGGTATAACTAGAGAAAAATTTGTTTTCTTTTTTAAATATCAGGAAATTTTTGAGAAAATAAAAATTTACGCTGAAAAGGAAAGTTTTATTAAGGGGATTTTAAAAAAATTACAGTATTGTTAAGTAGTAATAGTTTTTTATTTTAAAAAAAAATGTTTTTTATTGGCAAATATTTGATTTAAATTAAATTAATTTTGATAAGTAAAAATATACTTTTGATGTTAAAATAAATTTGAATTAAACTTTTAGTTGAGTTATTCTATTTCAATGTACTTCAGTTAAATTCATTTTAATTAACTTATTTAAATTACATTTTTTAATTTAGTTAAATTATTTTTTTTTTAATTGATTTAATTCATTTTATTTAGTTAATTCAAATTTGATTGAATTAATTTCGTTCAATGATTGAATTAATTTGATTAAATTACGTTTATTTTAATTAGTTTAAATTAATTACACATCATTTAATGATATTTTCCTTTTCAAGTATTTTATAATCTTGTAAAAAATTCAATAACCAAAAAAGCCAAATGTTTCGTACTCTTTAAAGAATTGTATAGAATATTGTTAATTTAAAGAAGGACGTGTACGTTACGTTACGATTAATTTGATTTTTAGTTACGGTTTTAGTTAACAATTACTTTGTGACAAGTTGCATTTTATAATGCATTTGCTCTTGGGATTTCATAGCCAATGGCTTTTTGAGTGTCAATGTCAGTGTTTCTCTTGTTACGTATTTTCTAATATAAAAATTGAACTTTTGGATTATTATTTTGTGTTTGTTAAATAGTGTTGTTTTTAAATGGGAAAAATTGCAAAATTTTTATAAACTATTTTCACAAATGGTTCATTTTAAAAACATCACGTAAAACGTTTGGTAAGCTAAAGAGATAATAATTTCTATTAATATTATAATAGTTATTACTTATAATAATTAAGTTATTAATGAGGATTAATTAGAAATTAATTTCCAGAAGATTTTCTTCGAGACAAAATATTTTATTTCACTTTTTAATTAATTGCTGTAGCTTAATCATTTTTGAAGTAATTTAATTGTTTTTATTATATTAATAATTTAATTATTAATTTGCATAAGAATATTTTTTTAAAATGTATTTTGATTTACAATTCTTTTTATTTGACAAAACAATTTTGTTTTAGGATGAAAAACTGAAGAAATCATGGATTTTCTTAGAAGCTTAGGAAATAAGAAGCTTTCTTCTTTTATCTTCATGGAAACTTTAAGATGTTCACGAAAGAGGAAAAGAGGACGAAATCTATTTTGCGTGTGGTCCCTTTATTATTGGTGAGTTTTTATCTTCAACTTCAATTTCTATATTAAAATAAATATCTATTGTAAATCAAATATTTTTCATAAATTGAAATTTAACTTAAGTTAAAAAATATTTTATAAATTAAGAAAGTAAATTTTTTAATTTAATCATTATTAATTAGAATAACAATAATTTTGAATGTAATAAATGATTTGTAAATTATAAAGGTAGACATTGATTTTGTGCACGTATGATTGAGCACAGAGTGAATTATTACAGGAACGAGAAGAAAAAAAAAATAAGTAAAATAAAAATGTAGACAGCCGAGCAGAACAGAACGAGTGTCACGTTATATGTCTCTGTGTGCATTAAAGCATATTAAAGGCTTCTGTTCTGCAGAAGCACCAATCGTTTTAAATTTTAATCTCTCAGTTTGATTCGATTGGCTTTTTGAATTTCGAGCAAGAATTTCATTTCCTGACACAGTAACGCGAGAACATATTTTTATTTTACAGGCATGTTTCTTATATTTTTTCACACGAAATTAAAAAAAAAAAATACGTAAGAAAAAAATATGAGATAATTTTTATATAATCCGATCCATAATTCTGCGTCAGTATTTGAAGTTAATATTTGTAAAATTGGACTAAATTGAGGACCACCGATCAACATGAAATTATATATTACATATTTTTGCATTAAATCCTGAGCTCTTTCCGCGAGCGATAACTTAAGTAAATCTTTTATTATCGAATTATTGTGTATTCGGTAAGTCACTTTTTATGTTGTTATCGAGTTTGCATTCAAGGGATAAAGACCCTTTTCGACCGCGGATGAGTGATTGATCGATTGACTATAAGACGACATATGCCTGTGTGTTTGTGTTCACAATATCAATTTTACACATGTTGTGCTTCACACGTATATAACAGGATCTTAAGATATACAATGGTCTTTAAACAAAGGGTTCTTTCTATATTTAAAAAAGATTCTAAATTTGTGAAAAAAAAATTACAATTTAATTTATTTTATCGGATTTCTATTTTAATTTTCTTATTTATTATTTGTTTATTAAATAAAATTAATAATTCTTTAGTATTGATAAAATGAATTTCGAGAAAATGTATTTTTAAAAATATTTTTAATTAAATTATTAAAGTCGAGTTTAAGATTATTGAAAGAAATCTTATAAATAGTCAAGAGCAGTAGCTACTCAAGCACTTAATTTTATGATAAGGGAAGATTACATGACAGACCATCGTTTCAAAAACATTAAGATACCTACTTCTATTTCCTGCTTCTATTAAAAAAAAGTTTTCCTTATATAATACTTTCTAGGTCTATAAAACATTGATTTACATTAAATTTCAATTTATGAAAAATATATTTCTTTTGTAAGAAATATTTTAACATTATTTTTTATAAATATTTACAAAATATTTTACGAAATTTTAAAGAACTTTATTTTTTAAACTATTTTAATTATTTGTTATTACATAAATTAATTAATATACGTTAAATTTTGAGAGTTATCGAGAAATTCAATAGAAATATAATCTTAACGGTCACAGTGATATCGCCCATATAATGAATTAATTATTTTTATGGATGTCAATCATAAAAGAGAGACCGGAAAGTGGTCAGAATTTCACACCTTTCATTTTATAATCTTAAATCCAAGTAAGGGACATTTATTACTTGCGTATGCAAAGAAAAAAAGCGACTAAACACATATTCTTTTTTTCAATTATTTTTTAAATACTTAAATGATTTCATTTCTTTAATTTTAATAAATTATCATTTGTCATAATTTTCATTTTAAAAAAATGATGTAAAGTTAAAAATTTGATTCAATATTACAAAATTTGTTAAATCGATTCATCGCCGAGATTAAATCTTTATATATATATTGTAAAATTATAAGCATTTGGAGGATGTGCGGAGAAGAGTTAAAGATTTGTTTTCAAAAGAAAAATAATAATAATAAAAAAAGAAAAGATTCACTTTACTTCGACGATTAAGGTAAACCTGTAATTATTAAAAACGTGTAGCTTCTCCGAAATTTACCGGAGGCTGCGGGGATAAACACGCGAATACTCGTTGTATACACGCATCGCAGAACGTGACTGCCCACCTATATCGTTTTATAAGATTTATTTTATGTTAATTTATTATGTTTACTTTCAGCTACTGGACATTTAGTTTCATTTATCGTTCAATATTTCTCATAGAGAATTTTTTTTTTGAACATTTTTTTTTATAGAGAATACGATTAATAAAAAAATTTCTTCTAAATCGAATAAATATACTTTAAAGAAAACGAATTCAAGGGCCAAGGGCAAAATATATAAAGAGTCAGTGAACTTTCAAATTTTTTTTTCTGGATGTATGTTTCACATCATATACGCACCGGTGACCGGTCGACTAATGACCAACCAACTCATTCAATCGCGGTTCGCTTCATGACATCTCCAAACAATACTCTTGATTATCGTCAAACCCATCCTAGTATATTTACTATTGCTTGACTGATTAATATATTTTCAGCGTCTAGTTCACAAAAATACAATAATTAATTCGTTAAGATTGTTTCTCAAGTAGTATTTTAATTACTTCATTTATAGTCGAATTTTTTAAAATTCTAATTATATTAATAAAATTGTTCTTTTTTTTAATTTAATTCTTTTGTGATTTACTTATTATTTAATTCGATATTTAATTTACCCTCGCGTAACAAAAGAAAAAAAAAAGTACATAAAAATTCAATAAAATAAAAATTTTGAAGTATTTTCTAGGCGTGGTGATGCGTGAAGAAAAGTGCCCCTGAATTCCACGGTCGGTATCGATATCGTAAATTGACTGACAGTATGTCTAAATAAACTGATGGGCATTCATTTGTTCGAACAATAATTTCCGGTTTTATAGGAAAGTGTTGGATTATTTCCTGATGTATAACGATTATAAATTCTAAAATAATTCTCATTTCATTGTAATAATTAGTTTAAAAATTAATATTTGCCTTCGTCTTTGTAAAAAATATTAAAAATTTTCCTCGCGTACTGTCATTAATTAATTTAACATAATTTATTGTTTATTCATTATTTATACAACATGATTATATTTATGCTTGAAAATCATGATGAGAGGAGACCGGTTTTTAATAATTAGATAATAAAGACGTGTATATATATATATAGTTAATTTTTTCAGAATTATAATTTCATGGAAGCCTTCGGTTATTTTGAACGAAACGTGCACGAAAGCTCTTTTTTTTTGTTTGTTTTGTCATTAATTATGAATGTTTGGAAAAAATTGTAATGGAAAATTTATTTTTTCAGGTTACTGATGCTGATTGTAAGCCCACAATTTCCAATAGCTTATTGTTCACGAAGGGATGATGTTTATCTAAATGTGAGTATTTTTCGTTTATTTTTTTGTTTAAAAAAAGTATTTGAAATTAATAACATAAAATTAATAAAAAAAAATTAATTAATAATTCTTGAGAGAGATATTTATCAAAAATGACAATTCTTTTTACTAGAGAAAAAAAAATTCACTTCTTGTTGAGATGTTAATTTAAAGTGGTTTCTTTGATGTATCTGCTATAAGGATGTCACTTACGTGACACTTTGATAAGGATTTCTTAAGCCCTAGGCAAGGGATTTATTATATTTAGTATTTTTGTTTGTGCTACATTTTAATAGGCTTGAAATATTAATTTTCTTTTTCTATTAAAATTTTGTTACAAGTTACAATCAATTAGTAACTAAAGATCTCAGTTAATTACTAAATTATATTTAAAGATTAAGAGGAAAATGATAAAATTGACAAAAGGAAAAGAATTTTAAATGTAACGAAATTATATTTCAGAGCAATGATGTGTCTCAAAATTCTGGATTCATTCGAAATAATAGAATGAAAGGTAATTGGGGCTCTTGGGGTCCTTGGAGTAAATGTTCTAGACCTTGTGGAACAGGAGTTGAGTCGCAAATTCGTGAATGTGTACCAATTGGGTAATGTATACTTATTATGACTCATTCCAAAATAAAATAAGATTTTTAGCATATAAAAAAAAATAATCTTTTTTTGTCTGTTTTAATTTTAAAAAACGAAAACATATTTTTTAAGAAAATATAAATTAATAAAACATTAAAATAAGTACTAATATAATTTAAAATCTTAAATTTACATCAATGCAATAATAAAAAAAAGTAAATAAAAATCCCTCTATATGAGGAAGCAATTATTAAAAGTATATAATGTCAACGTCGTTTAATAATGAAGATTAATGATTCTGAGTATTTATAAAATAGATGTCATCACTTTTGTTAATTCGCTTTTATCTCTTGTAGAAAGCAATTACGGAAGAGGAACATTATGGGCCATAACGATACAATCAGCGCCCGTCCCAGTTGTGTCGGGATATACAAGCGATACCACATCTGCAATACCCAGGTAAATTCAATTCACACTTGGACAAATATATAAATAGTATTTTATATGAGCCAATAACATATATATATAAGTCTCTAAAACCTATTCACGATACGGTTCATTATTTTTCTGATTGACAACATATATTATTCTTTTTTTTTCTTTTGCAGGATTGTCCTAATTTTTATCCAGACGTGAGGACACATCATTGCTCGAAATACAATGGAAAATTATATAAAGGACGAATTTTCGCTTGGGAACCATTTCTAGATGGTAAATATTAATTTATTTTTTAAATACTAGAATCGAAGAATATTTTTATAAACAATTTTTTTTTAAAATAATTTTACAGCGCCTAATTCTTGTGCTCTAAATTGTCGGGCAATTGGAGAACGATTTTATGCAACTCTCGAGCCCTTGGTTCCTGATGGAACTTATTGTCGTCCGAATTTTCTTTTACCAACTGTTCCCATTTTTAAGAGAAACACTGATCAATGGTTGTGCGTCGCTGGACATTGTAAGGTAAACAAATAATAATTAATATAATAATTTTTATTCTTTTATATTTGCAATTACAAAATTTTAATATTTCTGTACTTTTTTTTTTTAAATAGTCGGTAGGTTGCGATGGAATAATAGATTCTGGATTAGTCGTTAATTCTTGTGGTATTTGCGGTGTCGATGATAAAGATTGTGAATGGTTCGAAGGTTCTTTTGTTGAGCCAATTTTACCAAAAGGATACCATTTTGTTGTTACAATTCCAAAAGGTGCAATGTCTATAAATATTTCTGAATTTCGTGCCAGTGAAAATTTAATAGGTTAGTTGTTATTAATAAATTAATATTAAAGAATTCTAATTTGTTGAAGAAGAAAAATTGAAAAAAATATTTTTTTGCAGCTTTAAAAGATGAAAATGGCGAATACATCACAAATGGTCCTTGGTCTTTGAGTCCCAGTGGAATTTACAATGTGGCTGGTACTTCTTTGTTATATGAAAGAGGAAGCGAAAATAAAGTTGAATATATTCAAGCTGCTGGTCCTTTAAATGAATCCTTACGTGTAGAGGTAAATAATTTTATTGTTTTTTTTTTAAATTTATTTCTCTCTTTAAAATGTATTCATTTTTAGATTTGGACCCATCATCCTAATCCTGGAATTATGTATAAATACACTTTATCAAAAACAGTTCCTGAAAATATTTTTATCACTTCACCGCCACCTATTGATCTTCCAGGTATGTTTTATTATTATCGTCATTTAGTGATTAATATTTATTTTCTGTATTTAAAAACTAATGTTTCAGGTTCACTGAGTCTCAACGAAATTCCCAATCCTACGGTCGAGGGGATTTTCAAAACTACAACTGAAAGGTAATTAATATTTAAAGTTAATTAACGATTAAATAAATATAATCTTAAATATTTAATTAAAAATGAATTTAGTTCTAATTTTTTAATCATATTTTAAGTCTAATTATTAGTACTTGTAAAATAATTTTAATAATTTATTGTAGAATACGCAGCTCACCATTAATAATTCCAACTCAACGAGTAAATGAAATTGAAAAAAGAACAAGAGAATTAAATGTCGAAAGAACAAGTATTCCGCCAACAACTTCCATGGCTGGTGATCAACCAAATTCAAAAGTAAAAAGACGAAGAAGAAAATTTATTTGGAAACTTTCAACATTTTCCTCGTGTTCGAAACCTTGCGGAGGAGGTAAGATATATTTATTTAAAAAAATGTTATTGACATTAGAATCAATTTTTTAAAAATAATTTTAATTTTTTCCCAGGATTTCAAAGAGCAATTTTTCGATGTTTTCGAAGAAGCACCGATGAAATTGTTGACGAACGTAAATGTCGAAATATCACAAAACCTGTGGGACCATCTGCAAGATGTAATGATCGTCCCTGTGCTGCTAGGTAATATTTAAATTTATTTAATCAAAGAAAAAGAAAACTTATATTAAATGTTTTTTAAACATAATTTATTGAATTAAAATACATTAATAAATCGATAATTGAAATCTATCTGTTAATTTAATATTAAAAAGAAAAAACAAATTCGATTTTAGATGGAGAGCCGAATCATGGAGTGAATGTTCAGTAACATGTGGTTCTGGAGTTCGAACACGAAAAGTGGAATGTGTTCAAAAATTAAATTCCCAATTGACAGTTCGTGTCGCTGCTGGAACTTGTATTCAACCACCAGATTTAGGTACTTGGGAAGTTTGTCAATTGCCACCTTGTCAAACTTTTGTGCCAGAGATAAGACACATGAATCCATCTCCAGTACCACCAAAATGGGAAGTCGGTTTATGGAGTCCGGTAAGATTTTTTAATTGATTTGCTAAAAAATTTTTAGGTTTTAAATTCTTTTTTTTATTTATAATTTTAAAAATCTTTTTTCAGTGTTCAGTGACTTGTGGTCAGGGGACAAGAATTCGAAATGTAACTTGTGTATCAACCAACGAATTATGTTTATCAAAAAATAAACCAAAAGCTGAAGAATTTTGCGAAGCTGACTCTTGTCCTCTTGTTGCGCCATCGAAAGGAATTTGGCTTTTTTCTGAATGGTCGTCTAAGGTATTTAGAAATTTATTAACATTTTTAATAATTAATATTAATTATTGATTAATTTTTTTAATTGTTAATCTTGTTTCAGTGTTCAACAGAGTGTGGTTCGGGAATTGAGACAAGACGAATTATTTGCAGTCATGAAAATAAAACACATTGCAATTCTGAATTGAAACCTTTAGAAGAACGACAGTGTTTAGGAACTGCATGCAATAAAACATTTTGGTTCACAAGCCCTTGGACAGAGGTTAATATTTTAATTAATTTTTAAAAAAATAGAAATGAATTTTATTTGAAATATGTTTTTTCTAATGGAATTTAATTTTTCTTAAAAATATTTTTAGTGCTCAGCAACATGTGGCGTTGGAATTCGAAAACGAGAAGTCGTATGTGCTTTCAAAATTAGAGATGAATTAACAATATCATCTGACAGTGCATGTAATTTTGAGAAACCACTTCAAGAGGAATTATGTACAATGAATCCTTGTTCTGCAGAATGGTTCACTTCGGATTGGACTGAGGTTAATTATATTCTTTTTTTTTCATTTCTATTTTACTATATTATTGTTATTATAAAAGATTTTTTTTCTTTATAGTGTTCCGTAACTTGTGGAAATGGTATTCGAACACGTGTAGTTCGTTGTATTTCTAACGGAAGTGAGATAAATGATTGTATTGAATCATCAAAACCTCGAGATAAACGTCTTTGCATTGGCGAATTTTGTAGGAAATCGGAATTTTCTACTGAGAGCCCTACAAAAAGTAAGAAAACCGTTTTTGCTCCCATTTAATTGTTTTATGTAATATCAATTATTGATCATTTAATTTGTTTATAATTAATTGTTAAATATCTTTTTCTAAAATTCAGATGGAAAAGACGCTGAAAATTGCACAGATGAATATCCTTATTGTGAGTTAGTTTTAAAGGCCGATTTGTGTCGCATTAAATACTATAATCACTCATGTTGTGGCTGCCATTCATAATTATTGAAATAAACATATTCAAGTAAGAAATTTTTACAATAAGAAATTAAATACAAAAAAAAATTAAATACAAAAAAAAATTATATTTAGTTTAAAAAAACTACAATAATTAAATTAAATTTACTACACAAGTTTAAAAGAAAAGAAAAAAAAAATTCTTTTCTTCATATAATGACACAATATTTTTTTTTTATTTTTCAGTTATTTATTTAAGAATCGACGACTCAAGAATCGATTAATTTTTTTTTAATAGTATTTACTATTATTTAAAAAAAAATAAATATTTTTCTATGATACACATTACCAGTTGAAGATTGAAGATGGCGATTTATTCATCGTAGGTAAGTGAGATATTAAATTAAAATATTTACTTTTGAAATAAAAAAAAAGAATTCAATCATTAACATTAGTGATTAAATTGAAAATTAAAATTTTTAATGATAAAATAATAAATTTAATTTTAATTTCTTCATTATCGACGAAAGGTTAGATATAAATAAAAGTGGGTTAATTAACTGATAAAAAAATACAATTTTCAACACTAAAAATATAGATTTACTTTTTTTATAATTAACAACAATCTTAAATAATAATTAATTAAATTTATTCTATTAAATTTAACATTAATAATTATTAAGTTCTCATTTACAACTTTAAAAAAAAGTTAAATAAAAATTAATAATTTATTTACTTATTCGTAATTTATTTGCAAAGTTTTCTAAGAATAAACAAAGAAAATTATTTTATAATTATTTAAACATTTTAAATTTTACCGCGAAAAATTTCAACTTTCCTAATGGCGGCAAATTAAAATAATTTTTTAATCTGAATCATTTATTTAAAATATTTGTACAATCTGTGTATTTCAAAATTGTTTATTAATAATTTTTTTATTTTATTTTTTTCTAGAATACACAAAATATTGAAAAAAGAAAATTACATTTAAATAATGTTTTTGAACGAATGGAATGAAGGTGGCTGCAAGTCGCGAACAAGTAGTTAGTTCTCCATTTCGCCGCCAGATGGTTAATGTCGCTGAAGTGCATGTAAGTCTGATTGTGCAGTTTCCCTGAAGCCGCTCACGCGTTCGTTTGTTCGTGAGTTCGTCGTGTTTATTGCTCCGTTAATTGTTTTGTCCCCCCAAAATATAACTCGTGTGTTCTTCTTCCTCGTTCAGGAATCGTAACCCTTTGTCGTTGAATCTTTCATTGAAGTTGCTTTTGGTGATTGAACACGAGGATGGCGTTCAATGGAGATGGTCCTCATTCGAAAAGACAACGGTTGGAGGAATCCGGACATAGGGTAAGTGTTGATTTTGTCATTAATATATAATAGATAATTGATAATTTGAACAAGTAAATTTGTTACATGTGCCGTTTAATAGTATTATGATTTACGATAACGCAACTTTGCACGCCATCATTTTTTCACTCATGAACAGTTTGCGCTCCTGCAACACACGCCGCGCGGTTCAAACTGAGCAGTGCATAGTCGCCATTTATCCCTTTGCTGTTCACTATCAATCTACTGATATCTTGCTGTTGAATTGATGAAATATCAAATATCAAAGCTTATAAATGAGTTATTTAGACTCGTTGTGAATGACGATTTTTGTGTCAAGTTTCATATCGTGGACAATCAGTGCGCGTTTTTCTCTTGCCTCGACAACCTGTTATCTGCGAGGTGGTCGCGTCAAATATTGATTATTTCGTGAAAGCCGGCTGCGGCCGACGCCGCTGAGATCGGTGGGTTCTCTTTTAGACGTTGGTTGCATATTTCGGAAAAAATAAAAGCTGTAAAAAACGATTCGTTCGCCGTACCATCTTGAGGTCAATGACCTCTTCACAAGGGAATCCGTCTTGAGTTTCTTTTTCCACGGATCTTAACCTTTAGCTATGGTATGGCAGGATCTAGCTTTGTTTCCAGCAAAGATAGAGTAAGTGTGTTTTTTTTTTTACAAAGAACATTTTTTATATTTGTTTATAACGGTTCTTTACTCTAGTAAAGGGTAGTGTTGTGTTAATTATATTTCTATAAGTGACAATTATCAATAAGTCTTTTGACCTCGAAAAGGGAGTGTTCGTTTTTTGTTGTGACATAACCTATAAAGTTACTCCATTTTTGTTTGTTTTTTTTTTTATTTCTTTTGACGTCTTCTGTTTTAGGACTGTTCTTTGTTTTATTTCAGGTGATTTTTTATTGGTTCGAAAGTAGGTTAGGGATATTTTTTAGCTTATGGGTTTATAAAATCTTGATCAATATTTTGTTAATCATTTTTAGTGAAACAGTTACATTTCTTTATTTACTAATTAGTGAAGTTTACGATTAAGGAATTTATTCGATCTTGTTTACAGTTAATTAATCAATGAAATTTCGATTTCGTCAGTGGTGTTTATAATTAGTAAATTAAGTAAAGTTTCGTGCAGAATTTTGTTTTAAAAGAAAATTTTTGTCAATGTGATTAATTTTGGTGACATAGTTTCTATCTTTAGTTAAATATCGACTTTGCAAGTTCTTCAAGTTTGCTCTTTGCATATACGTAAATATACAACGAATTGCAGATATATATACTAAACTCTTGAGAGTTCCGGAAAAATATTTTTGTTGATTTTACAATTTGGTCTCTATAAAGTTATAATCGTATATGCAATCAGTAAATGTATATCAATTCTACTTTGACAAATATAATTCTTATTGATTTAAATATAAATATTTAAATACACAGATTACTTTATATTAAAAAAGCAATATAAATATTTGTTTATTTAAAATTAATTGCATTATTGATTATAATAATTGTTAAATAATTTCTTGTTCACAATTATTATTTTTAAGTTTTGCTATATTTGATCTCATTGCTAATGAATTTATTCCAATTTTCTGCTTGAAAAGTAATCAAATATATTCTGTTTATTTAAGCAATTTGCAGCTTCACAACAGTTTTGAATAAACGAGATATGAAATACCTCTCGAATATATATATGGACAAACATTTGAGGTACATAATCTCTGAATTGCATCCAAAGTTTGTTGCACTTTCGAAAAAGATTAATGTTATTTACATTGTTTCATTATTATTAATAAAAAGTGGGATTACAATAAGAGAATATTAATTAAATTACAATAAAAAAAAAAATACACGTATATTTGTCAAAAGTATTTTACGAATGAAGAGCAATCCGGGTTCACAGTTTTGATTAAATGTACTCAAGGGTTAAAGAGATAGCGTCTCGGTTCAAGACACATCTTGAAAGCCATTGTTCTTCAAAGAGAAAATCTGAGGAGATTATACTAGAGTTCGCGAGAAATTGAATTGTCTGTCTGATTGAGATTACAGTTCCGACTTTAATATAGTTCGGTTAACAGACCTTGATGGAATCTGGATTGCTTTACTAACTTTACAATATTTCTTCTTTTTTTTGTTTTGTTTGTCCTTCATTAATGTCGGAATAAGTTTCTACTTTTTCAAAAAAAAAAAAATTTTAGACCATCTTCAAATTTTTGGAAGATTAATTTTATGGATGAAATAAAAATTGTTACAGTATCATATAAAAAAAATGGGACGAAGAGTTTTTCTCCATATATACATATTTTGCACTTTAACTTTCGGTGAATTTATGAGCTTACTTTTTTTTTTTTTTGATAAAAGTTATATGCTCTCTCGCGCAGGTTTTTATTATTGTCGCTCGAGAAGAAAATTTCTGAGACATATGTGTCAATTTTTTTTATTGATTTACGATTATTCTTTTGGAAATAAATTTCTGTGGAATATTTTTGAAAAAAAAGTGTTGTGTCAAAACAAAATATTGTGTTTTAAAATTAGGAAAATTAATAATAAAATTTGGTTTGATCATTTTATATATTATATATATACTCGACTGTCATATAACCGGTCTTGTGTCATCGACTCTCTGTAATCACACAGACAGTGACACTTGTTATAAATCAACTTTTCACAACGGTCGACGATCTCGGGAGTCTATCGTTCAAGTAAGGTCATTGTCAGGGCGGCATGACTTGATTCCAGTTGGTGTTTGAAAAAAAAATCATAATTTGAGATTAGTTTTCTTTGTTAAAAAAAAAAAAAAACGATTGGTGATTTTTTTTCGTCATATAGACTAATCTCTTATGTCATAGAAAGTCTTTGAGCTTGAAATTGTAGAAATATGATGTAGGGCATGAATAAATGTATAGGAAACTTGTTTTTGTATAAAGAATGCATAAAGTTATCGCAGAGTTAGTATCATCTAAGGCGAGAGAGTTTTTTTTCGTTTTATAAACAGACTGATTTAGTTTCCTATACAAATTTCACGCAGAGGATTAGAATCTTTAATTAGCATTAAAATATATTTTTTTTATTAATTAAAATAAAAATATTTTTCTTTAAAAATCATTGATTTTAATTCAATTTTTTGGGGGGGAATAAATAATGTAAAAAAATAATTTATTTTTCCAATATTGTTTTACAATTTATTATACATAAAGAGAAATTTTCATTTCCTTTTTGTTTTTGAAAGCCAGCAAGATCATCCATCACTTTCAAGTTCATATTCCGCGTTTTAAAGTGATTTATTTTTATAAACGCGAGTTAGGGACCGTTGAGAATGCACGTTCTAACATTAGTTATACTAAACTCGGTGAGGTTTTTTTGTTTTTTAAAAATAATTTCCATATAGCCACAAATCTATAAATATATCCTTGTTCAGTGAAATATCGCGTAAACTTCGCCTCGAAATTGTAGGTCAGTACATTGGAAATTTGTTTATTATTCGCTTCCAGGGCCGTTCTAGTTATCAATTTTACTATTTAAATTCCTTTAGGAATTGAAAATATTTGTGTTTAAAATTTTTTTCCTATAGAGGGAATATAAAAAGAATTTCTTTTAAAATCAATTTTCAAATTATTTTTTATTCTAATTGAAAAACATTTTAATGAAAATCAAAGTTTTGAAGATGATGAATTAATGGATATAAAGTTAATGTTTGCGTTATTGGCCAAGAATTTAGCAGGGAAGTCAAACCGTCTCTCAAAATCTTCAGACACTGTCCATTTGGATTCGAATGTGTCATAGAGACTAAAATATCTCTTTACCCGGGGTGCCTTTACTCTCAGACATGTTTGAATTTTCTCTTTATGATTTAATGAATCTTTCTTGAAAATTTCCAAATAAGAACAATGTTTTAATTTACTTTTGAATTTTACTTTTGATGATAAATAAAGTCAAAAGTTTCGAATGAGAGAGAGAGAGAGATTTTCCGTTTGTCGCTTTGTTTCCTATCTTGAACAATTTCATGCTCTTCGGAAGTAAATCTGCTTCCGTGGCTCCTATATATATATATGACTTTGTCATTAACACGAAAATTCCCCAACTTGGTGAATTATCATTTCTGATAATCAAATAATTAATAATGATGAAAATTTAACTAGAACATCTTCGTTATAGTCCAAAAAACTTGAATTTTTTTTTTCGAATAAATTTATTTTTACAATAATAGTAATCTTTTGTTAATATTTATCGAAAAAAAAAAATTTGTTCAAAGCGGTTCCAATATATGCGCAAGGCAATGTATATATTTAAAATTTTCAAGATCGATTTTCCGTGAGCGCGGATTTCAAGCGTGTAAAGATATATTTACTGGGAGAAAATTCGATGCACCGACCTCATCTCGGAAGAGTCAAATTGATGGGACGTTCCATTTTCTCCCCAGTTGCAGGATTATTCCTTCGTGGTGGAAAATTTGTCACCGCACAGGAAGAATACATACATAAAGGAATTCGTAATCGTTTCATTTTTGCTCTATAAAGGGAAGAATCAAATGAATTTTTTTTTTTTTTTTTGTCATTTAATATCAAATATGCATTGGGTTGTGTGCTCGAATTATTGAAATTCAATATAATTCTCAAACCTTATATATATATATGAACTTTTGCATTGCATCGTTTTCTACCCGGGGCTTTTAGATATCTGTGTTATTTTCATTTTCCTCGCTATTCACGCTCGATAAAGCTCAAGAGTCAGAAAGCTGAAAAGGTTGGAAATTTGACGTACAAATGGCTTATCTTCTGTCAAATGGAAGATCAATAAAGTATTGAAATTGTTCTCCTTTTCTTTTTTTAATTTTCACATTTTTGTTAGAAAGAAAATATTTTAAGATACTTTTGAAACTAAAATTAGTCTTGTATATTTTTATTTTAAACTGAAATATATGTGTTTTAGTTTTAAAGTACAAGACTAATTTAATTTCTGATTTTCATTGAAAAAATTTGAATAAAAGGAATTTTTTTTTACCGTCTATAAATATATATATATATATTTATATATATTACAATGGCAAAGTAGTAAAACAGCATCAAAAGAGAGAAAATGTGTGGCATCCGCTTTCTGCTAAAGTTTCCTTTCTGTTTCAAGTTTTACGTCTTTCTTTATATCGCATTCAGATATTCTATACAGAACCAGTTCACAAATGTTGTAAGAGAAAGGATGGCGATTTTTCTTGAAAAACAGGGGCAAATGTCACAGGGTGAAACTCGTTTCGAAGTCTTTGCACATTTTAAAGAGTTATTGTGATCTTTCTCTGATCTCGCACGAAGAATAGAATCGTGCGCTCTTCCCTTTCCTTATATCGTTTTTGACATTATTTCCATTTAGACTACAAATCGAGAGTAAAGGTTTATAATATATAGAATATTGTGTAAATTAAATAACAAACAAAAAACAATAATATTCCTTTCTTCGCGAAAGGTAAATAAATTTTCAACTAATAAAATTTATATAAACTTTTTAATGAATGAAAAGAAAGAGGATTTATCTTGGAATTCTTGTAATTTGAAAAATGTTGAACTAACTATTTTCTTCTGCTGAAGGATATTGCTCGAGAAAATTGATTAGCTACGTGAGTAGAAAGTAAAATTCAATATAAAAAAAAAAAAATTATT